CTCTAGTGCACTATGGAGGGTTGGCTTCCCCCCCCCCCCCCACCTTCTACCTCCCTAGGTTCCCTGTTTTCATTCTTTCTGCTGCCCCTCATGGCTTCAGTCCTTTTCCTTCACTCAGTACCAGATCGGATTCCCCTCTCCCCCTAAACTCTGTATACTTTCCCTCCCAGATACCTCCATCCCTCCTCACTTGTGATTGCTTTCTTTTCCCAAGTGGGACTGAGTTGTCCTCATTTGGGCCCTTCAGCTTGTTGACCTTTTTGAGTTCTGTGGACTGTATCTTGGGTATTCTTTATTTTCACGGGGCTGATACTCACTTATTAGTGAGTACATACCATGCATGTCCTTTTGGGTCTGGGTTACCTCACTCATGATGATATTTTCTAGTTCCATCCATTTGCCTGCAAAACTCAGGACGTCCTTGTTCTTAATAGCTGAGTGGTATGTTATTGTGTAAATGAACCACATTTTCTGTATCCATTCTTCTGTAATGGGACATGAGTTGTTTCCAGCTTTTGGCTGTCACAAACAAGGCCACTATGAACACAGTGGAACACGTGTCCCTATGACATGGTGGGTCATCTTTTGGATATATTCCCAAGAGTGTTATTGCTGGGTCTTCAGGTAGATCTATTTCCAATTTTCTGAGGAGCATGTAGATTAATTTTACAGAGTGATTGTACCAGTTTGCAATCCCACCAGCAATGGAGGAGTGTTCCTCTTTCTCCACATCTTGCCAACATGTGTTGTCACCTGAGGTTTTGATCTTAGCCATTCTGATTGATGTAAGGTGGAATCTCAAGGTCATTTTGATTTGCATTTCTCTGATCACTAAGGAATTTGAACATTTCTTTAAGTGCTTTGCAGCCACTCAAGAGTTCTCTGTTGTGAATTCTCAGTTTACTTTTATAACCCAGTCAGCACACCTACATAAGAAATATATCCCCACCTCTCTATAAATGTGGTTCTCACTCTGTGAGTCATGACCCCTTTAGGATTGCATATTAGATATCCTACATATCAGATATTTCTATTATAATTCATAATAGTATCAAACTTACAATGAAGGAACAATTAAATATTTTCATGGGGTAGGACCTGTATTAATGTTTTGCAAATTTAGGAACATTGTCTAAAGCATTATGAGCTAGATAAAGGTCAAGAGCATGCTGTTCAGCTGCACACATTCACTTTACAACTTAAAGTAGTTGTTCTAAAGAGGAGAGAGATTCACATCAAACATAAAAACAAAATTTTCGTTTATCCTCCTTGAAAGAGAGAGGAAGCATTCCCTTCCCATTCTCTCATAAAACTTTCGGAACTTTATTTTTGTATTGTTTTGGGTGAAATATTAAATGACTTTGAAAAACAGTTTATCCTTTGATGTAACGGAAGAGAAAATCCTTTTGATGTTTGGGAATGGATTTGCTTAATAACAAAATAATTCAAAGGTCTTTAAAACAGAACAAGTGAATTTTTGTCATTATTTTGGACTCTTATAGATCATAATCATTCTGAACGTTAAATAATTGATATTCTTAAGGGTTGAGTTTCATCTGCCTGTCCCATGAAGGGAATATCTTAAGAAGAATAGACATACAGTGCACATTTGTTGGAGAAATTAAGAAGATAAAATAATTGTATAAAGGCTTTTACAGTTTCATTTTTCTGCTTTGCCATCCTCAGCACATTGCCTCTTCTTCATGGTTATTTCTTTCTGGTTGTACTTACAGGCAAAACTTACCATGTAGCTGTATCAAGAGACAGGGAAAATGCTGTCCTATGTCTCTCCCTCCTCCCCCCTCTTGCTATTTTTCTTCTATTTCTTCCTGAGAACGGAGAAACAAATATATCCCTTGTGGCTCATTGGCCAGAATTGAATCACATGTTCAAACTAAAATCAGTCAATATCTAGTGATGTAGATTCAGAAAAACTTGTAGAGACTAACTGATGATTACTCTCTAAGCTTGAAATCCCATCGTGCTGGTGATAGAGTCTCTCACAGCTCTGTCAGGAGAGAAGCTGGAAGCGTGGAGTCATGTTGCTCCTGTTACTGTGCCAGTCTCTGGAAGTAAGGTCAGGGAATTGGTGTAAACATACCAACTACAAGTTTTCTCACCCCTGCCCTTGATCTAACATTTTTAAAGTAAATTTTTGAGAATTTCATACATGAGTACTACATTTATATTATTTATACCCATATCTTTCCTCTTCCAACTTCTCCTCTGCCCCTCAATTATTTCTCAAATTAATGTTCTTTTCTTAATTATATTAGTTACATATGTATGTGTGTGTATATATTTTATGTATGTATAAACTAATGAGTCATTTAAATGCTCATATGAACATGTCTTTGGGTCTTATCACTAGGTATGGGATAGTCTATCAAGAAGCCTGTCCCCAGGGTTGATTCTTCCTCCCTCAGCATCATTAATAGTAGCTCTTCTTCTCATTTTTTTTATCTATAGAAAACTGTATGTTAAGGCTCCTAACATATTTATTAAATATTGTTACTGTAATTATTACTTGTTTTGGTCTTAGGTATTTTAGTTCTATATAATTACTGTCATGTACTTAATAATAATGTTTGGGCAAGTGGTTTGCTACAGATATGACAGGGGTCTCATATTATAGTGGACTGACAATCCCTTTGTCAACTGACCTTGTCATAATCATTATATCATAGAGAAATATATTAATCACATGTCTGTGTGATGCTGCTCTGAACAAGCTCTCAGTGCTGCCAGTCATACAAAAGTATACCATATGCAATGATGCATGCCATTTAATACCTGACAAGGATAATATAGGAGTAGTTACCTTACTTCTATATGTATTTATTACACTATAGTTTTATCATTAAAGTATAGCATATCTCCATTTATTAAAGAAAGCTTGTCGTAAAATAGTATGTCATGCTATTTTGGAGGCAGCCTTATATATCTTGTTTATTGAATATCATGATTTCTGTGTTTTATTAATATCATATTATCTTATTTATCACAGTCCTGTGAGTAATAGGCTATTGAAAGTGTACACGCATGCACACACACACACACACACACACACATACACATTTAAACTCTAGGGAGAAAACATATATTTGCCTTGTGGGATTTTTTTTTTATATTCGTACAGCTTTAGTACTTTCATCTATACTGTATTGTCTTAGCTTTTGAAAATATGGCTTTCATATCTGACTTGTTATTTAACCTCTGTTACTTGCTTTCTTATGTACCAAGTTAAAGTCAGACAATCTCTTTTTGCCAGTTCATGCACCTATTGCCATAGGTCCTAACAAAAAATTGTTAGTCTTTCCTATCAGGGTGAAACATTTACTTTGAAGAAAGATGGCTTTTTCCCTTATCCCAAATCTGTATCTGTAGGTGCTCGTTTCACCTCTCTTTTCAACTCTGAGTTGTGACAAGGTATACTGTTTATCCAGTGCAGTGTGAAATGATATCTGCCTGGCCCAACAATGCTGTAATTCTTGCTTAGTCTCCCCGAGCTGTGGAAATTAGAAAAGGCTGGTATTAACTTATTTTTCCCTATGGCTCCAGAGTCATCTTATGAATTCCTGTTTCTATAATATATGCATGACTTACATCTGTAGTCGGTTGTAAAGTGTGGAGTGAAATGTCCTACCAGCAACTTCCACTCCAAATCTAGATGACAAACAAAATTGCTTCTGGAACACAAGATTCTACAAAGCAATATCTATGAAGGAGACATTGTTATATGTGTGATATGTCTACCACAGTGTCTATTTTATAATGGCATCTCAGAGAATATTTTCTGAACAAAAGAATAAATATTCAGAAGCTGCTACTACTGGTTTCCTCAGGCTGCCTTGAACTTAAAATGGTGGCTTAAAAGAACAAATATTTATTCCTTTACAGATACAGAAGGCAGAAGTCTTAAATCATAATGCCAGCAAGACTGGCATCTTTCTAAAGGAGAATACTTCTTTGCCTCATTTAGCTTTTGGTGGCTCCAGACATTCCTTGGTTTGTTGTTTTACTGCCAATTCCAATGGCTCCCTTATTCTTTCATGGCTGCAGCTGTTTGGATGATTATGACCACCATAGGCTCACACATTGCATCTGGTTCCTAGCCTGTGGAATTGTTTTTATTGAGGATGGGAAGTGTGGCTTTATTAGAGGAGGTGTGTCATTTGGTGTAGGGTGTGAGGTTTCAAAAATTCATGCCAGGGCCAGTCTCTTTCTCTCTGCTTCCTTTCAGATAAGATATAAGTTTTCAGCTACCATGCTTCCTGACGTGATGTTCATTGACTCACTCTCCAAAGATGTAAACAACTCCCTAATCATATGCTTTCTTTAATAGGTTCTTTGATCATGGTGTTTTCTCACAGCAATAGTAAAGTCACTAAGGCAATGGCTTGTCTCCCTCTCTTCTCTGTATTTTCTCTACCACAATCTCTTGTGAGCATTAATGTCACTCAATTTAGACACCAGTATGTATCCCAGGATGTCCTATTCTTAAGCTCTGTAGCATACTTATTTTTCAAAGGTCTTTTAAAATAAGATTATACCTGATAGGTACTGAGTCTTACGATATGAACATTGTATTTTTACATGCCCCTATTCCACTGAAGAACTCTGTCTACTTATGGTGTCACCTCACTCAGACACTTAGCATATATTTACAGAGTATTTCCTCAGTGTTCTAGGACTTTCAGAGTACTGACTGTCTTACCCTTTCCTTTAGATATTTATACTTTAATTTATAATTCATGAACTATATTCACTCAAACTTTAAGTTAAAACAAAAAGTAAGTGGAAGCATCTTGGTCACTGTTGTAAAACGTGTTTGCTGGAATTATTTTGGGGATGATGCTTAGCTTGGGTAGAAGTCAGCTACTAAGGTCCTTAGATAGAATAATGCTGGTATAGCAAGCAAACCCATTGAGGGTTATGCATATGAAAAACTATATTCTGTGCAAAGTGATCCTTTCTTTTTACTCAGAAATATCAGTAACATGATAGAAAACAGAATGAAAATTTGGTTGAATGAATCATCAAGAATCATCAAGGAAACACTGCATTTTGCAGAACCAGTTCCTGGCATTAAAGCAGAACCACATGAGAGGAATGCCTGTTATTTCCATGTGGTCATTGCTAACCCCCAAGGTTTCCCCTTTGAGGGAGGAACTTTTAAACTTGAACTTTTCCTTCCAGAAGAATACCCAATGGCAGCAACTAAAGTATGCTTCATGATCAAAATTTATCATCCTAATGTAGACAATTTGGGAAGAATATGTTTAGATATTTTGAAAGATAAGTGGTCCCCAGCACTACAGATCTGCACAGTTCTGCTGTCAATCCAGGCTTTGTTAAGTACTCTTAATCCAGATGATTCATTAGCAAATGATGTAGCCGAGCAGTGGAAGACCAAGGAAGCCCAGGCCATAGAAACAGCGAGAACATGGGCTAGGCTGTATGCCATGAACAATATTTAAGTCGATCAGATCATCAAGTGTACGTCACTTCTCCTGTTGTGCCAAGACTTCTTCCTTTTTTGTTTGCATTTTATGGAAACAGTCTTAGAAACATTACAGAATAAAAGCCCAGGCATCTTCATCTTTGGTGACTACGTGCACATTAGCAAATCTGTCTTGTCCTGATTCACTGTTGTGAAGCATGAGCAGAGGCTAGAAGTATCATCAGGGTTGCTGAGAGATGTTGAGAAGCAGGACTCTCTGCTTTGACTCCTTCTCCATTATTGTTAAAGTACAAGGCACTGTGAATGAAGGTAGTTGTCAGGGTTAGCTGCCAGGGGTATGGGTGTTTTTTATTTTATTGTTTTTTAGGGGGAAAGTAGTTTTATTTTAAATGCAGATAACCAGTTTTTTAGAATATGCTCTCTATCCAAGTCTAATCTTTGATGCTGTAGATGGACAAGCTTGATTGTCTGAACCAAAATAAACATCACAGCCCTCACTAATAACATTGTGATTTCTCTGTCAAGTGTAGATTCTCTGTCCCCCACCTCCACCCTCAAAAGAAAAAACTTGTGACCATTTTATATGACTTGTCTGGAAACTTCTGTAAATCTTTAGTAAAATATTTTTTGTTATTAAAAAAAGAAAAAGAATGAAATTGGCAAAGGTGGAAATGTGTCTTAGATATTAGGACAGCCTAGGCTGCAAAGGCTTCTAATGCAAAGGAATGTTTATGACCTTTGTTGGAAGTGACTCATAGGACTGTCCTAAATAAGGCTGATGTGCATTTTAAAAGGATGGGCCTTTATAGACTTGGGATTTTTACTAGAATTTTAGACCTTTCATTATCTTTGGAACTAATTTTTAGCCAGAGTTTTTTATGTTTGTACGTCACTAAATCCAAATGAAAATTGAAACACAGGGTAAATATGAGGCAATTAGATAGACCTTTTATTGCAACATATTAACTGTGACTTTTCTTATTTACCTTAGAGTTGGTAAGTATACCAAGATAAGGATAAGGATAAGAGAGTATCAAATGCAATTATTTTGAAGTTAGCTGCAAATAATTGGTGTCAGATGGTTCTACATAAGTCAGTAAAAGTTTGTCAAGTTGTCTTTAATACTATAACTACTACAACTACCACAACTATGACAGTAGCCCCCCACCCATACCCAATAGCCCACCACCCATAATTGACAAAAGATTTAAAGAGAACCAGGTAGGATGCTTATAGACTTTCTCCTCTCTCTCAGTTCCTCCAGATATAAACCCTCAGTTTTGTCCTTAGAACTTCAATAGAAACCCAGCTGCAGCTTTCCTTCCCTGTCTACGTCTCCTGTGCATCCCACAGACAAGCCTCTCCTAAACTACCTCCCCCTTCTCCTCACTATATCCCAGTCTCCAACACCAGCAGGCCTTCTGAGTGACCTACCAGCTGACCAGGCAACACACAGCTGTCACATTCATCAAAAATCCTGAGAGGACACAGAATCCAAAGAACAAAATACCCATCTAACAAAGACAAATCCATGATTTAGCACCTAGACCTATAACCATTCCAAACACAGATGCCTAGATATGAACATAATCAACAACAGTGAGGGAAATATGTCTCCATTAGAGTCCAGCTATTCTACCATAGCATGTCCTGACTATTTCAACATAGCTGAAACAAGAAAAAGGCCTTAAAACCAGATATATCAAGGTGAGAGAGGTTTGTAAAGAAGACAAAAATAAATCCTGCAAAGCCAAGAAAATACCAACTGTTTAAGAAAATGAAAAAAACTTCAAGTCCTGAAAATGGAAATAGAAACAATAAAGAAAACAAAAACTGAAGGAATTCTGGAAATGAAAACCATAGGAATACAAATAGTAACTACAGAGTCAAGCTTCACCAACAGAATAAAAGAAATGGGAGAGAGTATCTCAGGAATTGAAGGTATTTGTGATGGTTTGAATATGCTTGTCCCAGGGAGTGTCACTATTTGGAGGTGTGGTCTCCTTTGAGTAGGTGTGTCACTGTGGGGATGGGCTTTAAGACTCTTGTTCTAGCTGCCTAGAAGCCATTCTTCTCCTGTCTGCTTTTGGATGAAGATGTAGAACTCTCAGCTCCTCCAGCACATCCCTGCCTTGATGATAATAAACTTAGCCTCAGGACCTGTAAGCATACCCCAGTTAACTGCTATCCTTTAAACAAGTTGCATTGGTCATGGTGTTTGTTACAGCAGTAAAACCCTAACTAAGACAGTACAATAGAAGTAACAGATACATTGGTCAAAAAAAAATTAAATCTAAAAATTTCCTGACACAAAGCTTCCAGGAGACCAAACCCACAAATAATAGGAATAGAGGATAGAAAATAATCCCAGTTCAAAGGCTGAGAAAATATTTTCAACAAAGTAGTAGAAAGAAAAATTTTCCTAACCTAAAGAACGAGTTATCTATAAAGATACAAGAAACATACATACACAGGGATTTTTTTTCTACAGACAGGTCAACCAGACAAAAAAGTAAATAGAGAGATACTAGAGTTAGGAGACATTATAAACCAAACGGCCCTAACAGATATTTACAGAGTGTAGGAGGAGCTAAGGTGGGAGGAGTAAGGAGAGGAAAAGGAAGAGGAGGAGCTAGAGAGGGCTGAGATGTAGAAGGATGAAGAGACACTCAGGTATGGAGAACAGCTACAGGTAACAACTTATATTTAGGTTAGCTAATTGGGAAACACCTCTAATTGTATGGGCATGTTGTTATTGAGCATTACCAAACATATAAAGCCTTTGATTAATATTTAAGCATTGGAGTCTCATTTTCCTACCAGGAGTATGTGGATGGCGAGATAGTCTGGGCAATGCCCAGCCTTGCAGAGACAGCATGAAAGATTGGCAGAGCCATCTCCCACACTGGCGTCTCATGGGTGGCAGGGCTGGTGTTTCTGGCTGGCCGTTTCTAGCTGCAGTGCCTATGTGGCCTCTGGCCACTGAACATGGTGGCTGAGCTAGGCAGAGCCTCTGCAGCTTAGAGAGAGGGCTTGACTAGCGGCCATTTTAAATAATTACTTCAACACAGAGAATTTCACCCAAACACAAAATAATATACTTTTATCTCAGCACATCATGGAACTTTCTCCAAAATTGATCACAAAGCATATCGCAACAGATGGAAGAAAATTGAAATGACTCCTTGCATCCTATTCACCACAAATTAAGGATACCAATAACAACAGAAACAACAGAATGCTTGCAAACTCATGGAAACTGAACAACTCTATGCTAAATTTAAAAAATAGGTCAAGATCAAAATAAAGAAATTAAAGACTTTTTAGAATACAATGAAAATGAATAAATAGCATACCCAAGCCTATCAAACAAAATGAAAGCCATGCTACAAGGAAAGTCCATAGCACTAAATGGTTACATTAAAAAAAAAGAAAAAAGAAAAAAAAAAAGGAGAGAACTACTTAACAGCATACCTGAAAGCTCTAGAAGAAAAGAAAATAAGCACACTCAAGAGGAGTAGAAGGCAAAAAATAAGCTGAGGAATGAAATTAATGAAATAGGAACAAAGAGAATAATACAAAGAACTATTTCATCAATGAAACAGAGATGATTCTATGAAAAAATCAGCAAGATAGACAAACTCTTACCAAACCTTACTGAGAGATGGAGAGAGGATGTCCAAATTGACAAAATCAGAAATGAAAGGTAGATGTGACTTCAGACACTGATAAAATCCACTGAATGATAAGAACGTTTAAAACCTGGAACTCTACAAAATTGGAAAATCTAAAAGAGATGGATAATTTCCTTAATAGGCAACCCATATCAAAGTTAAATCAAGATCAGATAGAAAGTTTAAATAAACCTATAATCCCTAGTGAAATAGGAGCAGTCATTAAAATTCTGCCAGCCAGAATGAGGGGTGTTTCTGACTCTTTTGCCTGCCTTTGGGGCCTTTTCTTCTCTTACTGGGTTGAATTGTCCAGCATTGATATGAGGGTTTGTGCTTATTCATATTGTAACTTGTTATGTGATGTTTAGTTGATACTCTTGAGAGGCATGATCTTTTCTGAAAGAAAACTGAGAAAGAGTAAATCTGGGGAAAGGTGAGGTTGAGAAGGAAATGAGAGAAGTGGAGGGAAGGGAAACATCGATCAGAATGTATTACATGAAAGAGAAAAATATTCTTATAACCAAAGCCAAAACAAAACAATACCAACCAAACAACCAAACAACCAAACAACAACAACAACAAATACGAACTGAAACAAAACAAAACAAAAAAACCAAAACCAAAACAAAAAATCTATATTATTAATTATTTTTTAAAAAAATCCTAGTATGGGGTTCCTACCTGCCTTAGACCATTATGTTCCCAGATGAAACACACACACAGCTTTTATATTTTAAAATATGCCTTATGCAGCACAATAGATGGGCAACTGCCTATCCTCCATGTTGTTAGAATCTGCCTTCCTATCTATAATCCCAAGCCATTTACTGTGTTCCATCTGGGCTGTTCTCAACTCCAACTAGCCAGCTCTCTGGGTCATATTCTCTTGGTCCCTAGTTCATAGTGGTTCTAATTTCCTCTCTCCCGTATGTTCATCTCTTTGTCCCATGATGGCTCTTCTCTCTCTACCTCTCTGCTCCTTCTTCTAAATCCAACAAAATTCAACTCCACCAATTTCTCTTCCCCCCCAGCTATTAGAAGTTGGCATCTCTATTCACCAGTCATGATCAATTGGGGACAAGGTCACTCAGTGTCTTACATCTTTGGGGCAAACAGCCTTGGGGGCTCCAAGTTAGCATTAGAATACAAACAGCATTAGGCCAACCCACTATAACCTCAAGGCCAGATGGTTTTAGTGAATTTTTCCAGACTTTCAAACAATAGTTAATGCTAATACTCTTCAAGTTATTCCATAAAATAAAAACTGAAGGACCATTGCCCAGTTCATTTTATTAGGCCAGTTAACCTGACACCCAAATCACACAGACTCACCAAAGGAAGG